TGGGTTCACATTAATAAAATAAATAAACAAAGAACAACGACGTGTCGATCGTCATTCTCCTCGTCAGGAGGATGACGATCGATTGTTTAATGATCGGAACGTCGTAGTTTTTTGTTTATTTTATTTGTATTAATTTGAACCCATCTACGTGACTTTACCGAAAGACCCAAAGACTATAATCTGAGGGTTGATTGTACAAAATACAATTTGCTACCATTCTCTACTTATGTAAGAATACAGAAACCCAGACATTTAAATATACATTTGTATTTAACTTTGAGCTGGCATCCGTGCCTCTGAGCGGCTTTCAAAGTTTTGTCTGTATGCAAAACTGTCCGTATACTATGATTGCCATTCCTACATATCAAATCCAATAAAATGTCAAGTCACGTTGGAATACGAACTGAAAACTCTCTCCAGCGTCACCCTTCGGTGTGTCCAAAAGATATGTCTCTCTGCCTAAGTGAGTGTTGAGCAGCGCTCATCTTCATTCGTGGCCCTGAGTCACTGGTGGGAATTCCCCTTTCCCATGGCAGGATCTGGTCTCTCGATCAGACATCCACAGGCTTAGCGGTTCACAGAATTACCCTCGCTACCAAGAATCACGACCACTAAGCACAACATCACGTTGTTAGGTGACGGTGCAGCCCTGACATCGCTTGCTCACCTCACTGCTCATCGGAGGACCTCCACTTGGATGGAGCTGTCACGGAGCTCCTCCCGGGGCTGTTTCTGCATCTTCTTCCAACCTTGCAAAATGTCTCCAAAGGGATTCGAGTACCCACACTTTACACCACCACATGTGACCTATCGACTGACTGTGGTGTAACCCTTTTATTCTGCGAGGTGCACAGAGGCAGGAGGAGGAATTTAGAAACGTGCACCGTTGGTTTAGCTGCCATGCCAGGAGATGGAACCAGCGACCTCTGGCTCAAGCGAATGCGCACCCACTCATTTTGTAAACTGTTGCCAGGTGTTTTGGACGAAGCCCAAGCTGTTAAAATAAAGCCGCAAGGAGTTGACATGTTGCAGGCAACGTACTGTTATTGAAATATAAATCACTTTAGAAAATGGAACACCGCCGATATATTGTCTTATTTGTTAAACAACAACCCACAGCCCCTTGGTGATTAATTACCAAGTTGCTGAATAACCAGTCGCAATACCACAGTCAGGTTGGTTTTTGTTTCGGCAGCATGATAGAGCCATGTGGTGAGGCAGGATTCCTGAGAGTCCAGCTATAACTTTTATCATTTCCTCGACCTAATGCATCCATTAGCGGGGTCACCAAAAGTATATATTAAATGCACCGATTGAAGCATTTGTATATCGATCACTGCCGAGAATAACCACCTATTGTAGTTGATTGACACTGTTTCGAATATAGCCCCTTAACAATGCAATGTTAAATTACAAATTTCCAATTTTATAAACAGTTCTGAGACTAAACATTTTGCTTTTCTATTTTGGGATGCTCCGTGAATTATTGTTGAAGCTGGAAAGAGTAACCATTAAGAAGAGCAAACATTATGCTGAGAAAGATAGCCGTCTTAAAAATAAAGACGCAGCTTTATGCAATTGCACTAACATTTAAACGTGAATATGGCCTACTGCAAGTGCTGGCAGTTTAAATGATTTATTTTCACGTGTCAGCTCTGCAAAAGCTGCGGATCTAGCAAAAGGCAGGAAGCATTCCCAAGGTTCAAGTGACATCAAAGCCAGTGCAATGATGACCTCTTGAACTTGATGTATACGTGCAGAATAAGTAAATGCTAAATAAATGCATGGCTAAATTGACACGTAGAGATGAGATTTGACATCGTTACAAATGAAACGTCGTATCCAATTGCTAACTTCGGTTGTGAGAACTGTTGCTCAACTTATCAGTGAGCTGAAACGATGATAATAATAATAATAGGCGCATTAAACACTCGTACACGTGACAATTATATTGTTTGGCTGTCTGGTGTGTAATTGGATCACTACGTGGCCTAACTCCAAAATCAATTATGAATCATAAATGGAATAGTTTACTCGTAGACATATACTGCTCAATCTTTCAGCCAATATGTGTCTTCAAGATAGTCATTAGGCATTCATCAGCATGAGAGAGAGAGAGGTGAAGCCCACAGAAGGACTAATTAGTGCCATACACATAAACATGCACACATGCTACAGATATACCATAGGCCAGGGCTGTCTCAACTGTGGCCCACGGGCCAAATCACCCGGGAGCTCATTTAATCTGGCAGCAGGCATCGATGCAAGGCACTATCAAAGGTGGCCTGCTGCTGCAGCACTGCCACGGAAATAATAAACTACATAATTTCACACGTTTGTGTGAAATTATTAATGACACATGCACAGAAATGTGTGAAATAGTTTATTGTTATGAAAAATAATTAATCGTACGCTGGTGCGATATATTAATGGAATGTTCCTCGTCTCCATAAGGGGCTCAGGAGGGAAGTGATGTGGGAGGGGTGGGGTTCGTTGGGGAGTCGTGGTTGGTGGGGGTGCGGGCACACGGAGTGAATACTTTGGCTGCGAGTGTTGTG